ACTTGAACTTTACTTAAGTATACTTAATAAAATAAATTTGAAGTATACTACTCTTTGGTAAGGGAAGGGCTTCACCAAATCGAATCTAGATCATTTAAGTTAAAGTAACAGGCGTAAGAGGCTCCAGATGTCAAAAGACGCGCATGCGTGCACGGTGCCTAAGAGAGGCATAAAAGCCTGTGGTTACCGCTTCCAAACTGGGGGGGCCAAGGGATACCAGGGAGCTGCTTGTTTGATGCTTAAGTGTGGCCCTGGTGGACCCCCACAGTGGAAGGGCTGCTCAGACAGGTGTCTGCAGACAAGAACATGTTGAATTGTTAGTCTTTGTCTGTCCATTGAATGTTGAGAGAAAATTGAGTGTGTGCGCTCTGCATGCTGGATACATTACTGTAAGCACTGATTGCTTGGCTGAGATACTAACCACATTAACTATACTGGGCTTTGCATGAAGCTAAATGTGCTGATTTTATATGTTTTATGTGACTGTTTATGATTGCAATGGTATGAAAAACCAGTGTGAACAATTGTAAAATAATAAAGAAGGCAATAAGATGGTGATTGGAAAGTAAAGAGTGTATAAAGAGAATTATAAGAGTTGAAAGAACAAAGAATATTTAAAAGAACTGGCTTTGTCGGGTGTTTGGACATCATCCAAGTTACCGACGCTGTGATCCAAATTGTGAAACACAATTATTTATGCAGAAAATTAAAAAGTGACTGGTTTTTCGTTCCTAGAGTGAGAGAGACAGAGAGAGAGAAACCAAGGCTGGCTGGTGTTTCTCTCATCTGATCTGTGTGTGCATGACAGGGGGAGTGGAAGCACTGAGTGGGAGTGATGGAGCAGCTGTGTGTGTGCAAGCGAGGAACCTCTGTGTGGGTGAAAGTGTCTCTGCGAGTGTCAGCAAAGAGTGAAAGCAAAAGCAGAAGTGCAGGAAGGAGGAGAACAGAGCAGCTGTGAGTGTGTGTGACAGAGAACAAAGAGAAAGTGTTGTGTGCGTGTGTTTATGGGTGTATGTACGAAAGAGAGTGTGTGTGTGTGCATGTGTTTGTGTATGGG